CACACACTTTGGAAAGCGCCACAATGACATTCGTCTCTGTCCTCAACCCATGTCTTGCACTCTAATTGGCTCCTTGACGGGTCCAGATATTTAGCATGCTTGACATCTGGGGAGCATCTGTGATGCAACAGCGAGCCTTTTGGCCTTGTGCCTTTGAACAGCTCACACATAGCATTCAAGTGACAATTTGCAGGCCCCGAGCCTATTTGCCTCTGATTTCGGGCTTTTGTCAGGAGCTCCAAAAATTTTCAGCAAGCAGAAAATCAGGGCTGTGTGAACTAGGCATAAACACACAGGGGCTGAAAATGCAAATGCTCTCTGGTTGTCAAAGTCTTGCCTTTTGTATGCCCAGTGTCCACCATCCACGCCGACTACCTCCAGTCATAAAGCACTAAGTTTCCAGCAACCATAATCTAGTCAGTAGTTAAATTAGCTGTATGTTAACTCAAATCTGTAAGAGCCAGGCCAACCAATTAACTTGCAAGTTTGGAAGGTAATGCATTGCTACAGCTACGTGTCACATGGTTCATCAGAGTGGTGCATGATGATGCACTTTGTGTCACAGTATGAGTTGAAACCACTGGATGGTCAAAACCAAACCTCAAAAGTGAAACTCAGGAGTGGACACAGGTTCAGTTTCCTGCTTTGGCACCTTTATCTTCATCGGAAAATGTTACTATTCTCCCAATGTGGTTACCCCACGTTGTGATTTTCCCACCCACATAATTAAACACCCACACAAATAGGAACAGAGAATAGAAAGAAAAAAGACCAAAGAGAGAGACCAAGGCTGTGATAAAAGAGCACATATAAATATTAGCAGGAAGTGAGAGAGAGAAAGGGAATTAGAAATGGCTCCATTCAGCCATCACAGACTGTGTGGGAGGGAAGGAGAACTGCTGAAAGTAAAAAGTGACGTAACTCAAGCAGAGAGTCTTGTTTTATAATTCATTACTGAGTATGTGTGTGTTCTAAACCATAATAGTGGGTAAAGCTGTCTGCGCTGGCCTTCTACTGTTCATTTATAGTTGATGATTTGATTTGTTCCAAGTGCTCGCCCTGAAAAGGAAGCATCTATTTTTAATTACATTAAACAAGGTACGTGACCTTTTGAGGAAACTGTTGGCCCTATTAAAGTACATTAATCTTTGTTTCAACCCACACTAATGTATAGTAATTGCACAGCACACAGCCTGGATGTGGATCGTGACTTGTGTTTAGTGACTTTAATATCAGGCTATCATGTAACTTTGTTCGTACAATTGAAGGTCAGCACTCAAAGTGTCAAGAGCCGCACTGAGTTTGTGGAAACTGCCTGTCTTGTTTTGAGATCATCATGGTTTTCAGTCGAGCTGAGTACAAATCAAGTGTGTTTTTTTGCAGATGATTAACTGATTTATTATCTGTTATGACAGTTTTGCCAAGACTGATGAGTTCATGCATTCAATTCCAAACGGCAGATTTAAAAGAACGTAATTCATCCATCAGTGAAATCTGAAGGATCCATGTGAGAGAGAGTGTGTCTCAGTTTGGCTTTTCTGAGGTTCTGGTATCCTCATTTTCCTTTCTAAAATTAAAAAAAGACAAAATTGTCTTCATCCTTAGAGAGAGTAATACTTGCATAATAATAATTGACCCTTCACAGACTGGCCAATCATAACGTAGCATCAGGCCGGCTCACTCTAATGCAGTCGTTTCAGATTTCCTTCATCTTCAGGTTGGTTTTGTGGATTTGGAGCTAAATGTTGTGCCTGGGGCACGTCGTGTATTAATGATACTCGTTACCTGGAGAGGTTGGAAAAAGATATACGTTTCTTCCCTGTTCCAAAACCAAAATCAAACCCTAAAAAGTGTGGGGTTAGCTAGCTAATGATTATACTTCTTAATGATTATAACAATGAAACAAAGACCGACCCTGCTGTACAGGAACCAGTGAAGGGAAGCAGGGAAACTTTGCTGATATTCAACCAGCTGTGGGTCATCACAGTGTGTGCAGATGAATGTTGTTTGTCATCCCCTGGAGTCCGGCAGCGAAGATCCGGGTGCTGGCAGCAGCTCGGGGCGAAACCAAACACTGTTCATCTGGACACACTGCGATGCCACACAGCTGGTTCAGTATGAGTAAAGTTTCCCTTTATATTCATTGTCTTGTGTGGCGATCAGCAGTGATGTGGTGGTTCACTTTTACACTGTGATCTGTAGCCTATAGTTCAGCTTTAGCTTCTAACTATCTTTGTCTTTTTAACCTGTTGTTGCTGCTGAGTCAGTTTGACATCCGGGATATATCCTTCAAACACAGACTGTAGACCCCTCTGTCTGCTTCTCTCTGGAATCACTCTTTCATTTTCCAAAAATATGATAATATTTCCTCAGGCAGTGCAGTGCAGAGTCCATGCTTACTCGAACAGCTTGTTGGACCATCGCAAAGGGGCGGGGCTTAGCGAAAGGTCAATAGTTTCCACGTTTTTACTTTTTAAAACTATAAAAGCCAAAGGTTTTGTCAGCACAAAAAACACTTCTAGTACAAAGAAAAATAAATACACCTCACAGAGAACAGTTGCTGTGCAGTTTTTGTTTGGATGTTTGGAGCATTTGAATGCATCACCGGCTCTGAGAATGTTAATAGTATGCAGTGAGTAAATGATTCCGGTGAAATCAATAAGAGATCACAGCTTGCACTGGGATTTACCCAGTCAGCGTGTTTCAGGGAAACAGCAGGTACTCTCATTTATTCATTCATTCGACTCATTTACAAACAGAGCATAACAACAGCCAACGACACAGAGGAGTGTATAGACTGCTAATGGTCTGTCTGTGTGTGTGTGTGTGCCTAACAGCATGTGGTTGGCTATAGTCCATGTCCTGAGGCAATGATTAGACTTTGATACTGACATCTCTCTCTCACACACACACACACACCTGCCAGTCAGTGGATCAGATATGTGTCAAACTGAGTCTGATTTTCAAATTTCTGTCACTATAGATTTAAGTTTATAATCCCTCTGTCTGCTGGAGTGAAAGAGAGAGACACTGACAGAGTTCTATAATCCTTTTGCACTTCAGGTCAGTCATGGACAGATAATATCTGCTCTTCCCAGCAGAGTTGAGTCGAGTTTGTCAAATCTTCAATAAAGACAAGAACGTGTCCAATATCAGCCCTTAGTGTGAAAGTCGCATTGATGTTTCCACTGGATGCTGATTGTCTCCTCACCATTTCTACTGTGAAAAGTTGTGGATGGTACCAATGGAACCATTCCGTACCGTCCCAATTTTTGGTCCCCCCTCTGTTGGGGTATCAACAGCATATCAGCATGTGTAAAGTGACAGTATATGAACTGATTTTGTCATCGGTAAGAGGAGGGGATGGTGGATGGAGTGACACCTTGGTGAGACGGCTGCCAAACTGCAGACCACTGTTTAAGACCAACAAACAACAATACCAGTTGTATTTTGGGTGATCCTTCCCAGTGTTTCCCAGAGGCATTTGTGGCTCCAAACCTGCGTGATTTTGGCAGCACATCACAGTATTTCCCAGCTACATTTGAGCCACTGATCCTCTGCAGTTTCACCAACACATCATGGCATTTCCTGGCAGCATTTGTGGCACCAAACCTGGGTTTTTTACAAACCTGTACCTACACTTCCAACAGCTTTTGTGCCTCTAAATGTGGATGTTTTAAGTCAGAATGTAACCTTGTCCTAACCATAACCAAGTGTTTTTTGTGCCTGAACGTAACTGTACGTTATCAGCATTGTGGAGAAACATAAAGTTTCAAGTATCTGCTACAAAACAATGTACAAATGTAATGTATCCATAGTTTTGAGGAAAACACTAGAGATTGGGTTGACCAAACCAAGACAACCAAGAAATGCATGGCAGATTAATAGATTAAGGGTTTCCTGGGGGGATCATTTCCTGTTGGACTCCACCTTAAACATCATTTCATTTGGGAATATGAACCATGTGAGCAAACTAAAAAAACAAAAGTCGGTTCAGTTCAGTACGCTTTTTTTTCCGTTCCACTGTGAAAAGTTGTAGATGGTACCAATGAAACCGTTCTGTACCGTCCCCATTTTTGGTCCCCCCTCTGTTGGGGTACCTAGCACACAGATCTGGTACTAAAAGGTGGAGCTGTGAACACTGCAGACTGTTGATTGGTCAGTAGAGGACGGTCACTCTGCTCAGGGCTGAGTTGTGTCTGGTTTTGAGGCTCATGTAACCACTGTTCATACTGTGGAGAGTTTTATTAGTAAACTGTACCTATAAGATGAAAGGATGTTGGATGTAAATCACTGTGACAACTTTAACCATCACTGTAGTTTTTATATGACATTTTACACACTTTTAGTATTGAGTGGATCTTCAAGTGTTAGATTTGGATCGTTCAAGCAATTTGGTTTGTCAAAGACACTAGCAAAGCAACACAGTAAGCACAGCAGAACTGTTGCATATGTCTGACTGTTGTATTTAACTACACATCTTAAAACGTGCTAGGCACAGCTGAAGATGACAACAGAAGTAAACACGTTTGCTGATTTCACTCATTTCCGCAATTTAAATCAATTTCCAGCTCTCTACCCAGAAGTGATTGTTGTTGTTGGCGTGATGTCATGGTGATTCCCTCTGTGGTCATTATGTGTCCAACTGGTCTGAGGCACAAGAGATTTGATTGGATTAGATTTGATTACTTCCTACTGGGATCAATATTTCTTCATTAACACGCAGTCATCGAGGTGCTGCACCTGTACTTCACTTTTTTCCCAGTCCTCGTAGACATTAGTCTGTGAAGTGGTTTATTCGTGGAAAGTGGGAGATGACGGAAATGAAAGGTTCTTGCAAACAGCTCAACGTAAACAAGATCTCAATCAGCTTATTTACGCCTGTTAACACTCAGTGTTTTGCTCATGAACTCCTTCGCAGGTGAGAGTATATTGAGGGAACGCCACGCCTCCGCCACCCTCCTCTTTAACCTATTTTTCTCTTCCCTCCTTCTCCCCAGGCGAGGATGATGACGACGAGGAGTGCGGGGAGGAGAAGCTGCCGTCGTGCTTCGACTACGTCATGCACTTCCTCACCGTCTTCTGGAAGGTTCTGTTTGCCTTCGTCCCGCCCACAGAGTACTGGAACGGCTGGGCCTGCTTCGTCGTCTCCATCTGTATGATCGGACTGCTCACCGCCATCATTGGTACGATGACAGCTGACAGTTTAAATTTGTACAAAAATAATATAGTATTCAAGCAAATTAAGATAAATTACAGCACTTAAAGGATATCTGGCAATAAAAGGCAAATGAAAACATGTTTAGTAACAGGATTCTTTACATTTTGGTTATTGTTATTAGGTGCGATTTGACTGATACCTTTATATTTTAAGAATATATGCTATAATAGAAGTAGTAATATGTATAGTTATCATGTTAATGTTCCTTTCATGTTATTACAGGGGACCTGGCCTCTCATTTTGGCTGCACAGTGGGCCTGAAAGACTCAGTCACAGCAGTAGTATTTGTTGCGTTGGGAACCTCTGTACCCGGTGAGTGTGTTCACTGCATGTCCATACACAGGTGCTGCCCCGTATGTTCACTCTAATATCGATTCAACACTGTCGATGTTTTAATCATCTTAAATATTGGACTTTCTGCCAGCTTTAATCAAAGACCTTTCTCCCTGCACATTTGGCATTTAGCTTTGTGAGGCCTTTATGAGCATAAATTCCCCGAGGTCTTCAATTTAGAAATAGATTTGTGTTCATCAGTGACCCCTATTCAGGGAGTATACCTTGACATTTTCAATTCCTTGCTTCAGATTTTATTACGCTTTATTAAGCTTTATTCCTCTGATTCCTCTTCCTCAGTGTAAATACTGCAGGATAAAACAAACTGCTGTCTGTTTTATAAAAGCCTCATTAAAGCTATTGCAATGAAGTTAAACAAATCAACAGCAGCTATATCAGGCAATGCACAGAAGAATAAATAAATATATGGAACACACAAAGTTGACTTTCACAGAACACAGTGTAGCACCTGCAGTGTGACAAAAATGCTGCCGAGGTGTCAAATTCCCTGGAGAGAGAAAATAAAATGTGTAGGAAGATGATAACACAGTGCAAAAGTAAAAAAAATATACATCTCACATTTGAGATATTTTAATATTTCAGGAAGATGTGTTACATTGAGAGGTGTGGACTCGAGTCACATGACTTGGACACGGGACACAAATTTGATGAATGTTAGATTCAACTTGACATATCAAAAAAGGCTTCAGACACTTGATACCTTCCCCCAAGTGCAATGATTAGAAAGTATGTTATTTATAAATGGTGCCACTAATAAGTTATTTCCCTTAATTTCCTGAGTCAACCAACATTAACGTTACTTCAGTCAGACAACTCACGTTTCAAATGTTTATTTCAGCAGCAGAACATGGTTAGAGTTTGCCATCTAGACTCCGGCCTCATCGAGCACCCTAAGTTTCAAAGACCTGCCCTGTTTGGTTCAATTCAATCAAACTCAGGTTTGTTTGCCCCCTCAGTGCAGTTCGTTTGTGCAGGTGTGAACACAGCAATCACACTCAGGTGCGCACCAACACAACCAGACTGAGACCTTCTTGAAGAGGTGGCCTCAGTCCGGTTACAAACAAACTCTGGTGCGGTTCATTTGTAGTGAGAACGTGTTCCGACCTGGATGTGAACCAACTGCAGTCACATGACACATTGTTTGGGTTAAACATGAGCATGTTGCAGTCCTGGAGGATTATTAATGTGCACCTCCTCCTGTACTACCTTAATATGCACATTCAGCACATCCAATGCATCAAAACATTGTTTTCTAGTTGGAGCCGCGCCTCGTTTTCAAACTGTATGGTTTGACTAAAATGAACAATGACAGCAATATAGTCCACGATGAGCAGCGCTAAAATCAACCTGCGTAGTTGTCCCCCCATTGTGACATTACAAAGTGTCACATTTATCTTGCAAGTGTACTCTTCTTCAACGTTTGCTTTACTTCCTGGATTTTTCCCGCATGGAAATTCTGACCAATCAAGAGCAGCTTTCTCACACAAGACATTTGATCTGGTCTGCTTGTAAATGCTGCCGTGAGAACACAAACCAACTCTAGGCAATTATACAACTTTGTAACAAAATAAGTCCCTGATTCAGACCAAAGCAAGACGACTCTAGGTCTGAAAGCAGCCTTAATTGTGACTCACAAAACAATGGCTTCACACCACTAGGGTTGGGTCGGTATGAGAGAAAAAAAAAACGGTACGGTTTTTGTGAAAAACCGCATCAAGTTGGTAATACTGGATTTTCGCCACTTGGGGGCACAATTGACTCATTTAAAATAAAAAACGACCATAGGACAACAGAGTGACAGTAACACGTTGTTTCTTTTATTCCTTACACATAAATTTGCAGGTTTAGCTTACTCAATCAGTGCAAATAAGGGTTGCCTCCTTCATCTGGCTCAAAGCCGAAGTGTTGCCATATTAGCGCATTCTTTGATTTCTTCGAGACTAAATTGTCTGCCATTATCGACTCCCCATCACTGTTAAACAAAGTCCAGGCTACAGTAGAGACCCCCTAGCTCAGTCCCCGCCCCACCCCCACACCACTCTCTCTCCTGGTCGCTGTGCGCTTGGTGAAGAGGCAGACACACAGATTCGGGCATACTATAAGCGGAGCGGACTCCGCGAGGAATGTCCGCAGTCATTCGGGCTTCCATAGTCAAAGCACTTCTGTGTTGTAGTTTCCTGTAAAAAATGTCCTTGAAAAATCCCCGCGATGTGAAAAATACATGCCAAGCAGTCTTTTGTGAGACACTGGTGCGCGGAGCGGAGTCCGCGCGGTTGTAAAATCTGAGCTTTTCGTGCACAGGGCTTGCGGACGTCCGCTTTGGGCTGACCTCCGTGGAGTCCGCACCACGTAGCTACGTTCCGCCCAAGTATGTTTGGCTATGTCTATGGTTATTAACATTTACATATATTAAATTGTGGGCTTTGGTCTTTAATAAGCACTAGACTTTAGGCGGTACTTCTATATGTCAGCATTCATTTGATTCAGAAAGAAAACATTTAGATTTTGTAATTAAATAAATAGATTAGTTGATGGCAAACTAAGACTTTATTAAAACACAAAGAGCCCTGCAAATTAATTGATTTTTTTCCCACTTAATTAAACATCTAAAGGAAAAAACAAGTGCTCCACTCGAGTTTGTTCCCTGCTGTCATGCTGAGAGTTTTTTACCATAACTGAGCCAGTGCAGCTCCCAGTCTCTCTGGTGTGTCTTTATATATTGAACTTTGTTAGAGGAAACAGTGCAGTCTGCAGACAGCAGCATGGATCATCCTCTAAACGTGAAAAATGAGTGGCGACTGCAACGGCCGACTAAATATGTTTTAACCTTGGCCCTGGTCTCCTGCCTCTGCACACACACACACACACACACACACACACACACGCAGACATACAGCACATGCTTGAATACTAGATGTATAGCATGCAGACACATAAACAGCTGTGCGGCTGTAATTACTTTGAGAAACAGGGTCACACACTTATATAATTGCAACATATTAAAACTTGAAATATGCTTTACCCACTGCACACACACACACCTGTACTGTGACCACCATGTGTTATTAACATGGGGCTATTTGTCATGTCAGACTCAGGTGGTCTCTGTCCTCCCATTTAGGGAGCTCTGGGATAAAAGTGATGTATTACATACCATCTTACACACACACACACACACAAACATATGCACACATACAGAAAATTTAATATTTGAACACACACACACACACACAAACAGAAGTACAGGCTCGCCAGCAGTTGCATTTGCAGACAAATACACACACACACACACACACACACACACACAGAGCTGCTTGAAGCAAAGAAATGCACACACACGTACACGCACACACTGTGTAGAGCTACAGAATGGAAACAAAGTGGTTCAGCCTTTCTGAGGCTCTCAGCCTTATTAACAGAACCTCCCCTGCCCCCCCCCCCCCCCACACACACACACACACACACACACATACACACACACACAAACACAAACACACACACACAGACACTCTCCCCCTCACAGAGAAACAGACCTCAAGTTCTGTGGTTATTGCAGTTAATAAAACCCATCCTGTGCTGTGGTTCCATGATGATTAACCTCGTTTATCACAGTTAGCCAGGCCAACTCACACACACACACACACACACACACACAGATAGGAAACAACAGGAGTGGAGCTTTTAAATGCGAATTAGAAACTTAAGAAACTTAAATTTGTTGTTGGTTTGGGATTCAGGCAAAGCCTCTCATCAGTTTATGACTCCGGGGTATATTTAAAGCAGCCTGTGTATCATTTCATGTTGGCCTCAGAAACTCAATAAATACATTTAAAGTGAGGAAAATGCACCATGAGACTCTGTGGGGAGGAACAACTGTTATATAGGTATGACAGAAGTACTGTGCGATTAATGCAGGGTCTGGACAGAGGATTTATTATGACACAACAGATATTAAATCTAGACTGACTTTTGCAGAAACAGAAGCAAACTGCAGCAGTGTAAATGACTTCATACGTAAGCATGTTTGATCTTTTCGAAATTTGTGGTGGCAAAACTGTCCCCAAACCTCAAGGGCATTAAAGTCATTAAGGGACATTAAAGTGGCATAAGAAGACCAAAATGGAACTACAGACTTCCAGGCACAAATCTTTCCGCTGATTCAAAGAGAACTAGAGACGATGGCAAAGGTGAGCCGGAGGATCATCAGTAGAAACGTGTCTCGCGGATAAGGACACATTTTCTGATTCAGGGAAGAAACCACTACTGATGCATTTGGTTTGACAGAAGCCAAGAAAACATTTGGTTCAAAAGACTTAGCTCTCGTATTATTGTGCAGCAGCAGTACAGCCTTTATACGCAGCTGGTCTTTAGAGGTTGAAGAGGACAGGGCGGTAAAAGACATCAGGAGCCAATGATCATATAAACTGAAATCACAGTGTGAACTTGAATTAAACAGGGAGGGAATTTAGCAAATTTCAATCTTATAAAGGCATTCATCAAGGAAGTATGGCAGACAGATGAATAAAAAAAGCAAACTGGACATTGTGATGTTTTTTGTTTGTTTTGTTCGTCAACTGATTGATCAGTAATCAAATAATCATTCGTTGCATAAAGCTGTCCTTTTAGGTCAGCATGATACTCAGCCAGTCATTGTTATTGTGTAATGGTGCCCAGCGGCGTCAGGGAAAAACGCTGCGGGACAACAACATAAGTTAAGGTGGCGAAAGTCCGAGCAGGGTGGGAAGGGGTGGTGATGGATGGGTTCAACAGCCACCTACTTTCACCCAGGAGGCCAGTGTTCTTCTGCATCCTGTTCTTATATAAACCCAACCACATGCTTTTGTTGCCTAAACATAACCGTGTGCGTTTGTTGTTAAAGGAAAAAAACGTCAATTAACGGTGTCTTACCGACGTAGTGCGTTTATTTAGAAAGAGACTGTATGCAAACTGTACATTTCTTGTGAAAAAGGAGGTGTATTTTGAAAACACACCATGCATGTAACAGGCTGAGGTTGACATGGCGTCCCAAAACGTCGACAACCAACGCACCCAGGGTACCTTGCACACCATATTTTGACATGGAACGTCCATGACCAAGCTTCAGTATGTGACGAGATCGGAGTGAGAATGTGCTGTCTTCACAAACATTGATCAAACTCCCCTTGGTCAAAATACAAAATCAGAAGCGATCAGTCTCTTCTTTCACATTTTTCTTCCCCAACTCGCGAAACCAGTCACAGCTGCGTCAGTCGTCCAACACTTTGATGTACCCTCCTGAGACCCTGTGTCCTCACATGAGGACATCACATTTTGGATTTACTTGACCTTATACATCATTCTACTTAACCCAGACCCGTTGTCCTCATTCATGGACACTTCTTTGTGCCATCTAGTGGTAGTAAGAGCACAATACACTAATCCTTGTAAAAACAAGATGGCAGCCATCTCTGCCAAGTCAGTCTGCAGCCGATCCAGACACAAAAGTGGACAAAACCTGATCAGATTTTATGGTTGAAACTTGTTTATTCATTATTAAGAATGTTTGTAGTTTGATATGGCAACAAAGTTGACCAATTTTATCAACAGTTACAAGCTAAGACCTTGTTAATTAGAAAATACTCATTTGCAGACATTGGGATTTTATTGTTTCTCATTTGGGGACATTGGGACTTTACTGTCATTGACAATGTTTAGTTTTTTATACTTATCAGGTCCTACTGATCCCAAATAGCTAGGAGAAATTAAAAATGTATACCAAACAAAAGTTCAGGTCTCAGGAGGCTAGAGCAAAATGTCTCACACAAACTTCTATGAGAGTGTTTTCAATATTCAATTTTCAGAGAAGACAGTTTCGTAACATTTTTAACCCTCTTAACTGATGTCTAGCATCACCATTTGCTCAATTTTCCCCTGGCCAAAAACTTGATCCATAACGAAGTATCACACCAACTAAGGGCCACATTTCCTTGAAAGTTCCTGTGGATATATGTAATCCCAAAAGTATGGATCCTAACGTTTCTGATGAGCCCTGATCTTTTCTCTATCACCACTGCCAGGCAAAAATGTCTCCATGCAGAGAGACTGCCAGAGTGCCTTGAGCACATTAGTGCCCTCCTGTGAGTCCTTCCATTTTAAAAGGCAAGAGGGAAAAGGGAGCAGAAGAGACACAAATGAAAGGTGGAGGGAGAGGATGTAGAGCAGACAGATGAGGCAGAGAGAAAGAGAGACCCTGGTTGATTGACAGTAAGGGAAAGGAAAAGGGCAGAAAACTCTCCAGGGAGGCATACTCTCACAGAAGGAGCTGCAGCGTGAAACCTGTTTCACACACGGACGCACACACACGCGCACCGCTACCGAACATGCAAGCACCCACGCACTCACCCACTCGATCAGGCACACAAGCACTCAAAGACCAATTGATGCACACAGACTCACACAGGCCTCTGCCAGCTGGTGGAGGCATGGCGTCAGATTGGACCCAGGTGGCGTCGTTCACTGCCACACACAGACTGTGCACATGTATGTACTGCACACATGCAGGCACACAGAAATAGAGCCTTGATAGGCACACACATACACACACACTTAAGCTAAGCAGGCCCGTCCTTGAAGCTTTAAGGTGTGTTGGAAGATTTATCTTTGCTGGACTCTTTCTTTGGCCCATTGCCTCACCCTCCTCCGTCCTCTTCCGGTCCTCCCATCATCCTGTTTTCCTCCGCCAGTTTGGCTGCCACTTCAAGAAAGCCCTTCCTTGTGTTTCCTCTCCATGTTTATCTCCTTTCACTGTATCTGGCAGATTAAAGCAGGAGGACATGAATGACTAACGAAGGGAAGATGGCAGGAAAATTAGCGCGAGGTAACAGCGCTAACTGACCATTTGGCTATTTGCTCAGTCTTTGTGCTCTCAGCGAAGAGCCTATTGTTGAGATTTGGCACTGCTCCTTTCAGTACCCCAAGGAAAATTGCCCCTTTGGAGCTGCTGTAGTTTGGCAAACATGAAACCAGGAGAAAAAAAACTGGGACTAAGCAGCACAATGCTGGTCCTCCATCAGGCCAAGATTTGTTTGCCCCTCCAAACTGAGATCCAGCCTTGTAAATTATTGATCTTGGACCAGATTCAGCCTGTTCTGGCTGCCAGCGACAGAACGCTATAACAGGATTAAAGATTGTGGTTTCTAATTTAAGGTTCCCCGTCTAAATGTGGAAAACAGGATTTGCACAGTGTTCTGTATTAATAATTATAAGTGTTCCGCATTCATCAAAAGCATCCTTCTCTGTCAGCAAGTTCTTGTGTAACTCACAAATGACTGCATGTCAGAGTCAGGAGTTCAACTCCAAGTGTAAATCTGTTTGCACCGTAGAACATTCAGTCAGTAACACTTAATTTACACTGAATGCACATATTGTATTCTGAAGGGCAAAGCACTGTGACTCTGCCAAGGGCTCATCTCTCTGTAGCCTTAACTTTCCAAATCAACACTGTAGTGGTTAAATGACAGAACAGTTATATAACTGTAGTAGTAAAGTTAGGTCTGATGGTTTGAAAGGTTTGAAAGGTCACAGTTTCACAGAATTAAATGTGTTTTCCATTATAGATATTATTGCCTATACAAATTAGCATGGCAACCTGGACTTTATTTTTTAATTATTCAAAACTTTCCGACTTAAATTATCAACTTCAAAGAGCACAATGTGTTTCTATGCTTAGTACAGAAATAGTTAGATATCAAGGTGTGTGTGTGAGTAGAAACTTAGGTTGGTGTAGTCATTGTTCATGCAAAGGATGCTGTAGGACTTTAGTTTACTAGTAATATGGGAAAGGATTACTTACTTGCTTATTATGTTGAAGAACTGCCAAAATACCTAAAACAAGCCCACTCTCTCTGTTAGTCTTGTTTGCAGATGATCTAATCTAATCTTACCAGAGAAAGAAACAACCACTGGGGAATGTAATCTCATCCCTACTCGTCATATTTGGCCACTTGGGCTGATTTAAATCAGTGGTTCTTAAATGTTGTGCCATGGCACACTGGTGCGCCATAATGTAAATCCAGGTGTGCCGTGGGATTTTGTGATAACAGCACATTATTATTACTGCAATATTCAACTGGGCCTATAGAGCTTGGTCTCACTCCGAAGTCATCGAAATCCAGCGCCTGGGCAGTGACTTGCAGCATCGGAAACCAATTAAAAAAGGTGTCCTTTAATGTCGGCATGAAACGCAGCCAGTAGCCGTTATAGTTTAACGGTGCCCAGTGGTGTGAGGGGGAAACACAGCCTGACAAGGACGAAAGTTAAGGCGGTGAAAGTCCAGCTAGGCCAGGCAGGAGGGGTGGTGGATGAGTCCAAAAAAACACCGACCTTCACCTGAGAAAGCGGTGTTTGTAAGATTATAAAGCCAAACCCTGTTCTTTTTTCCCCAAACCTAACCATGTGTTTTTGTTGCCTAAACCTAACCACGTTGTTGTTAGTTGTTGGAGGAATTTTGAGTTTATTTTGAAAGTCACTGTATGTAAACGTTAAATTTCCTGTGAAAACGGAAGTGTATTTTGAAAGGAGGCAATCCATGTAGCAGGCACAACTTGACACGGTGTCCCAGAACATCAAGAACCAACATACCCAGGGTACCTTGCACGTCATAGGAGAGATAAGAGTGATAACACGTTATAGAGTCTATTGTGCACAGACAGGTGTGCCTTTGGATTTTGACTTGCCCTTTGGTGTGCCTTGGGCACAAAAAAGTTTGAAAACCACTGACTCAAATAATGCCGGGGGTGGGCAGCCTTTTGCATTGTATCTTGACGTAAAAAGGGTTGGTCATAAGAAAGGGTTGGCGGTTACGTTTAGGCACCAAAACTACTTGGTTATGATGAGGAAGAGGTTATGGTTGATGATAGTGAGGCAACTCATGAAAGGGGTTGGCAGTTAGGTTTACTCATCAAAATTATTTGCTTATGGTTATTCACAAGTTGCTATAAGACACCCAGCTTTGAGTGGCACATACGCCACAACCAGTGTTGTTTGTTGGTCTCGAGCACCGGTGTCCAGGGGCAAAGTCTCCTGTTTGTAAGACCAATCCACCTCCCCTCCTGCCCACCCTGAGCAGACATTCATGCTCTTTAAACTATGTCCGTTGCTCTGAGCATCTGATAATGCAGTGCAATGCAATAATGCAGATGGGTTTACATTAGAGTTGATAAAAAGCACAGACGATTGACGGTGCCCCTGACGTCACTATAATGATGCCGGTGGCCGAGACAATGCCTAAGTAGTGTATTCTGACACCCTAGGAGAGACCAGGCTGCACTAGCTAAAATGGTTCCCCTCATACTTTCAGTAAGGCAGGGCACCTTTAATGAGCATCCATTGAGTAACGTGTTGGTGGAAAATGCAAAGTGTGCCCAAATTTGATCTCCCTTCTTTTCTTTCCCTGCCCAGATACCTTTGCCAGCAAGGTCGCTGCTACCCAGGATCAGTATGCAGATGCATCCATTGGTAATGTGACAGGCTCCAATGCTGTCAATGTTTTCCTGGGCATTGGGGTGAGTCCAGCTCATTTAAACATGATTGATTGATTCATAACTTGTGTAAAGGCAATGGTGCTTGTCATAGTGCCATAGAAGGAATTACTATAATTTATTTGTATTAATGTATATATGTTATTTCTTAGGTGGTATTCTTTAATGCTTCCACTATTATAAACAGTCATGTTATTCAGTTTGATTCTGCTCATGCTTGACAGGTGGCGTGGTCCATCGCTGCCATCTACCACAATAGCAAGGGGAACGAATTCAGGGTGGATCCAGGCACACTGGCCTTCTCCGTCACGCTCTTCACCATCTTTGCCTTTATCGCCGTCGCCACGCTGATGTACCGACGGCGGCCGGAGATCGGTGGAGAGCTGGGAGGGCCCCGGACATCGAAGGTTCTTACCACCATGCTGTTCATCAGCCTGTGGCTCCTCTACATCCTCTTCTCCTCACTGGAGGCCTACTGCCACATCCAGGGCTTCTAAGATGACGGGAGAAGCCGAAGAGAAGGGTGGGACAGAGAGAGAACATGAAGGAAGAAACCAAGGGGAGGTGGATGAATGGAAGGATTTGGAAATTAAGGCTGTCTCATTGATCTATCACTCCCTCCCTTTACGCAATAGGTCGAATGACGGATAAATGAATGGATGTACAGATGAAGAAAATGGAGGACGCATTAAAGCATCTAAATACAGAACGGAAGGAAATACGGATGCATGGAAGGACAACAAAAATTATAGGAGCTAGAGAGATAGCTCAGAAGATGGAACGAAGGAATATGTTTTTTGTCTTGATTTATAAATCCAAACCAATCAAGTTGTCTTAAACCCATCCGCGTTTTAAATCCATAAAACAAATCCCCAAACACACATGAAATCAAAATGAGTTTTAACAAAACAAGGAAGTTAAAACAGACCAACACAACACCATATATCCTCAGATGTGTGGCTTCAACAACAACACTCCCATTAGTCCCCCCTCAGTTGGAGTAGTGCAACTCCCACGTCCAGCTACAGTAACAGGCGAAGAAACAGAAAAGGACAGAATAACTGTATCAGTATGTTCATGCATGACCAGACGATACTGAAAACCACAGTCAGAAGAAACCGGATGTATTGCCACAACTGTTTAATGACAACAAACTGTGTGCGTGCTGGTGTGTGACTGTGTGTTTCTGTGCTCGTGTGTTGTGGGAAGATGGTCAAGTACTGTGAAGAAAAAAAACGCCTCTCGTTTCGCTGTCGCTGCGTGAGACAGAATATGCTTTCGTATTCGAGGTCTTTTTGACTCTCCCAGCCTGTAGAAATGCCGAGTGAGACTCTTTCGCGGGAGGGCGCGTTCAATGAAATGAAACGTTCTGGACGTCACTGAGGTGAGAAATGTAAATACAAAGAGCTGAACGTACATTACAGCTCCACTGTTTTCCTTCTGAATGTCTTGGTTACGCCATGCGCTCCTGAACGGGCCCTCTTTCTGTTGCTTTATACAGTAGATGTAAATGATTTAAGGTCTAATTTGAATCAAGGAGGGGTTAGCGTGCTTTTACCTTTAATAAGGCCGTGTCTGAGAGGACAAAATGGCCGCTCTACCGTTAAAAACTGTTAGAGATTATCATTGCATAAATATCTAGGTTAATCTTATGTGTGTTTTCGTTTTGTTTTTTTTAAACTGTGGAATCTGGTTTTCCACCAATGAGATTACTACCATCGTGTGTCAATCGTAACATTGCAATAGACTTTGAAAACGTAGGTACCGCCCTCTGTGAAACCTCATCGGCTGTCTGTTTCTTTACTGCCTCTGTCAACGGTTTTCTCACTTTGATGCCGCTTTCCTGTAGGTTCTCTCATTATCCCTGTGTGTCTTAAGCACCTCCCCCTTGGCTGGTCAGTGGACCAATCAAAATCCTCAAGGGCTTTGTAAGAAACAACCACTAATCCCTAACCCTGACCCTTGATTTATAATTCTTCACATAGATTGGTCTTTAGGGGGCTATTTAACAAGGATTTGCATTCCTTGACATTACACACCAACTGCTCAGATGTTAGGAATTTCCCTCAAGGGAAATAACAAGACAACATGTCAGCTTCATTGAGTGCAGACTTTGTCAAAACAAGGATCCAGAGTTACCTAAATATCGGCAAAACCACCCCGATGATCCAGAGTTCTTGATCGGACAAGGTTTCAACTTTTCTTGTCTTTCCCACTTCATTACAAAGATCGCCTATAAATTGCGGTCAGCCTTATTTCAAATTAAACCATCCATGCAACGGGCTGCCTCCTCTCTGCTTCTTAAATAAACTACCCTTTAGGCATCATGATCATGAAGGCCTTAACCCAAAGGAAGCAATGACATATATTGTTCTTTATTCAAGGGCAAGTGTTTGCTTTGGACTGAAGAACTATAATTTAAACTATGTGATTCACTGCTTCATGCTGACCTTGGAAATCAACCATTGAAACTTTGCATTCAGCCAGTTTTGAGTCTTAACAAAGGAGCCATCAAAAGGAATAGTCAAAAGTATTTGCTGCTGGTGGAGAAGTAGGCTTACCAACTGATATAGGTAAATAAGTATCATCTTACTTAGGGTGCATTTGACAACCAGACTCTGTTTAACAAGCTTACAGAGGTTTGGAGACAATTATTTGTGTAAAAAATAGGAGTATAAGATTTTTTTTTTTTACAATCTATTCGATTGGCTTCCCAGCCCCCAGAAACTGTCCCCCTTTAGGACCTGTATCACAAAGTGAGTTCAGCTTGGTCATGCTTTCTTTTGGTCACACTGGCAGTTTTGCATAACCAGTCTTAAGCGGGATTTATACTTGTGCGGTAGACCCTATGCCGTAGCCTACGCATTTATACTTGTGCGGTGGTGTGTCTTTGTCACTCTGCAGTTACACCTTCAAAACACTAGTTGGCAACATAGGTTTCTGTGAAGTGCTGTAAAGTTTAGTTGATTCAAAACACACATTAAACACACATTAAACATGGCTTAATAGAGTCAAACACAAGTACACAAATCAGCTTCACAATAACTCACAGCATTCACAGACAAACACTTGTCTTTATCTGAACACATTTTCCCCACAAATACAACATGCTAACGTTATTAGCACAAGCCTATGGCAGTTTACATTGTATAAATTAGCCTAGCAGCTAGCAAACTTTTCCTCTACTCATATGAAACCAGGGACAACAGCAACATTTAACAAAGGTAACATTACAAAATTTGGCTCCATTACAACTCACAAGGTTCACTGACAAAACAACTGTCTTATACTAAGTTTGTTTTCCAAACAAATATAACATGCTAACGTTATTAGCACAAGCCTATGGCATTTTACATTGTATAAATTAGCCTAGCGACTAGCAGAGATTTCTTTTGCTCACATGAAGCCAGGATAAATCACACACAAGACTTAAAATGCTATTTTAGTGGAGGCTTTATTGTCTTTTCAATTTATTGTTTCTTATCTGTGAAATTAAAGTAAATAAAAGCTTCGTTTCCACTGAGGGAAATGGTTTCAGCTTACAAACATAGACAGGAGGTCTGCGTCGCCACGACACGTAGTTAAATTTCTGGGGAGGCGCACATAAGGCTACGGCGTAGGGTACGGCATCGATTCAACACAGAAGTATAAATTCCGCCTTAGATAACCAAGTGGCTCTATCAAGATGGAGTTCATACCTATAACATGCAACATTAACAGCTTAAAAGGAGCATGTTTAGTGTGAGGTGATATGCATTCATGTGAATCATTATCAGATTGGGTATGCAAAAAGATTTTCTACTTGTGCTATCAGAAGTAGAGTGCAAAGAATAGCAACATTTGAACAATGAGGAGTTTCAGCACAAGTGTTTCAGCTACAGATGAAGAATCCTGTTATAAAGCCAGAGCAAATGTTTCCTTCCTCTCTGATATAAGACAAATAATTATGGAAAGCAAAGTGATTCTTCTGGTGTGTAAACATTTCACACTGTGCTCATTATTACTTGTGCTTTAGTCTATTTAAGGCGCCTGTAGGAGTGATGATGACTGTGTTTGTCAAGGTGATGCTCATTAGTTGAGCAGCATGAGTTACTATTTTTGATCTAGCTCGATCAAAAGCAAACTATTCCTAACACCAGAATATCTTGGTTAAGCTCAAAGTGTATCTGACTAATCTCACTTTATGATACAGGCAGTAACAGGATAATTGAAGTAAAACAACACACATTGTCTCGGCCCTCTATGAAATTAAATTCGAGCTTGAATTTGACCAAAAGTCTGCGTGCATGATAGGACAGACGTTTCCATCCAGAACACTGCGATGGCCTCATAGGCAGCTAAAGGGTTTTGAAAACACTAGGTGTGCTGTTTCAGGACATGAGCTACCAAACATGATCTCACGTAAAGACCAAGCTTCTTTGAAAACCCTTGTCAAGTGCTGAGCTAGCTAAACATGTATCAATGAAACTGCAAAAGCAACTGATCGACAAACTGACACTTACCAGACGCTCACTGGCTGAGAATCTTCTTTCAGGATTCAGTCACAGACAAGACACATATCCTGAGAACATTTCTGGGTGTATTTTTAGCCAAACGGGGCGGGAAACACAAAAGTGGCTCAAAATCTCGTCCTGAAGTATGTGTAGAATATAAATCTTCCATCCTATCTTGACTGTCAGAGAGGTTTACACTTCAGACTGTTAACTATTTTACTCTAAAACTGCAGAGATCTCAATGTTCAGAGAACTTACTGTATAAATAGGCATTCTAAAAAGTCCATAGTTTGTTGAATGGCACTATATGCATCTGAATTGGCCAGAATTTTCCTGCTGATGTTGTGTTTTTTTTACTTGATGTATAATATAATAAGTAATATTTTAAATGTCATCTGTAAAGTAAGTAGTCTGGGCTAGATGTAATCCATTTAAAACTTGGCAAAAAAAAAAATCTTGTCACAGACAGCTTTCAACCCCTGTGAGAGAGTAGAGCTGAGCAGAGCCCTGGATTGGATGAGTTTGGCAAATCCGCAGCGTCTTGAGGAGAACTTATATTAAATATACATACATGTTCCAGTTTTTGTGACCTGGCATATATTAGTGATTCACCAAATGATGCACCTTGAATAGTAAGCACTCCGGAATACAAATCTCAGTAGGTGATGCGACACAGAGGTCAAGCAACAAGTCTTGCATACTGAAATCTGGCCAAACTCACAACTGTAATGCTCCGACTTCTGTTTGCAGCACAATTTGGGAACAGCTTTTAAACAGCCACTTCCATTTGCCAAACTCTGCCCAATGCACCGCTCTCCGCTAGAGTAGCTGTTCTCCTGTGAAGGCCTTGGAGTGGCAGTTTACCCCTGTTTTGCCAAAGGGAAATCTTTCTATCAGAAACTTAGTATTTGCAGTCCGACCTGTAAAGGGTTTTCTAACCAATGGATCTTTCTTAAAACACCAAATATTATTCATATTTCATTAACACTTTAAAAGGAGACTTGATGTTGTTTTAACCTAACCAGAATCTTTCTATTTGAATTTGTATGCATTTGTCTCTTCACTGGCATGGAGCTTAAGGTTTATACACTGTAAAAAAAGTTATGCTAGCTTGTGCAAAAGAAAAAAAGAAAAAAAAGTAGAAAAAGGATAAAAAGAAATAACATTGTGGAAGCTGTTTGCGTCACTTTTTGAGTAACTTCAACAGGGTGTAAATTATCTTTGATATCGCTAAATCGTGTTGGATTTACTGAAAACGTGCCTGCTGCCTAATCTGTCAGAGTGAGCTCGCGCAGGAATGAAAAGCTTGCAGTAACGTAGTTGTTTGCATCAAAATTAGTTTGCCGCACAAATTTTTCCAGAAGCTAACATTTTTCATTAACAGGGAAGTTAGTTCTTTTTGCTACGCCGGCCTCGTCGCACCGCCTCTCTCAGTGTATCTACCTTGACTTTAAAGCTAGTCTGACGTGACGCTGATGGCAGATTAACGACAGCTGTTCAAAGCCACACAGGGTTCGGACCAAGGTGGGAAGCTAAAGTTGGCTAACACAATGTTAGCAAGTCTGATTGCTTTACCTGCCACGATTGTAAGTACCAGGTTGTTTCTTTGAAAGCAACTTCACCAGGCAAAAAAAATCACATTTGCATTTAGCTTCCTCCCTTGGTTTGGACTTCTGAGGTTTGAAGGGCCAAAGGTTAGCCAGCCCAACGCTGTAAATAAAACACTAAGAGCAAGCTAGGAGTAGAAAACGAGCTACAGTAGACCTTTTTTATTCTCCTGTGGCGGGGTTTGAAGACGTGGGCAGGGGTTTTAAATGAAGGAAAAGCATTGCACTGGTTCTTGTCGCTTATGTGAAACGGCTACTATGTTGTTTCGTCGAAAACACTAACAGAGTTGCTTCTGATGTAAACAACGACAACAAATTTTGTTTTTTGACTGATGTACACAATAATAATGTTGTACCTGATGTATAAAAAAAATAAAAATACAACAGTGGTGAATCAGTTGTGAACCATTTACGATGTTGCTTCTGATGTGAAGATTGATCGTGCGTTCTCCGTTGCGTCGTTCACTTCTTAACCGACTGTCTGTCTGACAGACTGAGGAATAAAATGAATGCAACACCAAACAGACAGACCAACGAAAGTAAGGACAAACACCCCCTGCTGGTACAGAGCCGAGCGGCGTCGTGCTGAGACGTCACTACGGCCATTAATGTACTGTTGAGAAAAACTTTACCAGAGCTATTCTCTACCCTTAAAGTAACATTTAACGATGTAAACGGATGATAAAGAGAGGAAGGAGGAGAAGGAAGACGAGGAGGAAGAAGATGAACATTAAAGGAAAAAAACAAGAAGTTACAGCCATACATTGATTTCTGGGTCAGAGAGATTGAAATGGACTTCTCCTGCCCAGCATGTGTATTGTTATAGTGTCTATCTGCCCCTCTGTGTCTCTCCCTCCTCTTTCTGTCTCTCTGCTGCCAAAGCAACCAAAACTGGCGGCGATCCTTTCGTTCTGTCTTTTCTTCCCTTCTCCCTGACTCCCTTTTTGCCTCCCGTCTCCCTATGCCATGTTTTCCATATTTTGGAATGTCAATGTGCTACTTGTTGACACTGTGCATGAATGATAACATGTCTGTATATAGTTATAGAGAATCGTATCCCATTCCCCCGGTGTTGACAAAAAAATGGTTTGAATGTTGTACAGATTCTGGTTTTCTGCTCATCTTTTATTCTGTTCAGTTACATTTTTTTTTTAATGTACGTAGAGCTTAAAAACAGTATGTTTTTAATTTAAAACGAAGACGTAACTTGCACATTGATTAATTAATTAATGAATTAAGGGGTTGTTTGTTTGTTTGTTTTTGTTAAAAAGGCAATATCTGCTGTTATTGAATGAGAGCTGAGATCTTAAAGGAGTTATGTATCTTAAATAAATAATCTATACGGAAGCTGCATGGATTATTTGTACGAAGAAGAAAAAAAAAAAAAAAAAAAGACACTGCTTGCTACTTCTAATACCGTGACTGTATTCTCTGACAGAGGGCGAGGAATACTGTATGTACATCTAAAGGTTATTTTGTCATTAAAGAAATAATAATAATAATATTGTGTATATACTGTACAGTGTTATAAGTGAGGTGGACGACGTGGCCATCATGCTAACCGTAGAGAATTAATTCTACATATTTATTTAAAGGAAAACACTCACTACACTCAAGAATGACATATATTGCCTTTTTGGAGAAGTTTGCTTAAAGTTTCTCGCTCCTCTAACTCATCCTCTTTCTTCTTCTCTGGCTGGTTTATCCATTTGTTTCCCGTCCATCTCTCCCTGTGGTCTTTTTTTTTATCTATGGAAGGGGTGGTTTCTATTTCAGACGGGTTTCT